ATATTTTTGCATAAAATGCTCGTCTTCTTTATCATTATTTTCATACTTCGTGCTGTATACACATCGTTTCTCGTAAGCTGAACAAACATGATTTTCAAAGTCAACTTACCACCACAGCGCGTGGTTAGTTAATAGCTGGAAGCCATTATTCAAAACGCTGAACTTATTTACCGTTTGCCAAGCAATATATAATCGCACACTGAGACTGACAGTGATACAATGCAAGATTTTCTATTTTGTGTAATTTTTGTAACTGCAATTTCGACGAAGATTTTTGAATGCGGTTTTTAGCTTAAATAAAAGGGAACCTACATAGTTTTAGAAGTATTAGGTATACAAATTTTCACCTACCACAATAAAAATAAAGGTGTTTTCGAAAACTTCGTTTAGCATCACTATTCCTGTTGGTATTCTAGCTCTCGTAGGATCGTTAATGTTCGGTGGACTGTATTTGTTCAGGTTCTTGATCTCTTCTCGGGATCAGGATCGTAAATGAAACACTTGTTTAACTGCTTACTGACTGCTACCACTACCACCTTTATTGTTCAAAATGAAGTACTAAATCAACTCTCTCATCTAGTAGATATGTGGGCGAGGAGGCGGTCGGCGCGGTGCGCGAGGCGCGGGGGGCGGCGACTCCGAACGACGCTGTGTGCGGGGTGCGGGGAACGGCGACGCGGTCTCGGTTGGGGCGCGGGGCGCTGAGTATGTGGCTCGGTGTCCGTAACAATTCTTCATAGGTAATTTTTCATGTACCTAAATTAACATTTCTTAATATGCAATATCGTTACAAAATATTCATAAAAACAAATTATGCCATGAAATTTAATTTTAAACTTCGAAAATAAAAGAATAAATTACTTTGTAACTTATCCACTAATCAGCGTAGATCTGGCTCAGTAACAAGGTACTCTTTGATCTGACTCAGCAACCCTGTACTGTATAATACTTAATGCAAAACGACACTTTCCAAAAAATTACGGTACCCTTCACGGAGTTAGGAGTAAATTGTTTCACAACTCAGCGATCTCTATCATTTCACTACCAAAAAAGTCTGTATCACGCTGTCTCCTATGCCTTCTATTCTCTAAGCCTACAACCCCATTCTCCTTACATAACATAACGTCGTTACGTCATGCAGCAAGTTCTAGGCAAACAACGTACACGGGGGTTTTTGCATTATAAAGTTCGTACTCTTAAATCCAAGATGACGTTACAAATAAAAAGAATAGTTTTTTTGTACAGTGACGTTATGATTCTCAGTGTGCGATATAGATCAGTAACATCTATGCATGTACAAACTCGTGGCCGTCTAATGCCATATACATAATACATAAATAAATTATAATAAATGATATTATAATGCTGTAAGGGTCATGACTGTGAGGTTTTCGCAATTTGCTAGTCATTAGAAAAAAAAAGACTGAAACTACTAAGTGATGGGACGAGGAAGTCGTGCGCCTGATGGTCAACGACACGCCTGTCCATAACAGTTGCAGTGCCACTGAGGGCTTTACATGGCAAAGATCTGAGGTGCACTGCCTCTGCGCCCATTACCCTGAGACATAAGTTGAAAAGTCCCATGTGCCTGTAATTTCACCAGCACCCTTACCCTTCAAACCGGAAAGCAGTAATGCTCATATTGCTGCTTGGCGGCAGAAATAGGTAAGGTGGCAGTACTTCCCTGGACGAACTCTTTCACAAGGAGCTCTACTGCTACTTTTTCCATGTTTAAAATCGCATATATTTTTGTTAAAGAAACCTTTTGAGCTCTTTCTTACTCTCGACGTCCCATCGTCACAGAACATTCTAATCATAAGGGCTTTTACCAAATAGAAGATTTGTTATCAACACACACAGGTGCGGCGGATCTAATCAAATAATAAATTACACAAGATGAATCCGTACGTCTTAGTGGCTTGCTGCGAGAATCACGGAGACTAGGGTAGCCCTATTCATGGTTGTAAGCCACGTAACAAATGGCAGTATACTTTATCGTCTTATTTGCCAGGAAATAGTAATTATTTTGTGGTATGTATGTGCATCGAATCGCAAGCAATATTTTTTTCTTCATGACAATAAGTGACAGTTGTAGTGCCACTCAGAACTTTAAGCCGTCACACATCCTAGAAACAGTGTCCTCGTAAAATGTCGTACTCTGTTAACCGGTCGGACGCAACGTGCAACCGCCGCCCTTACCAGGTCATCCGTCCACCTAGTAGGGATACTATTTTTTATACATTTTAATAATAATAACGCACACTCTTAACATAGCCCCGCACTAGGGAAACCCTGTGTCGCGGGTGCTATGGATACACACGTAGACAACCACAAATCACACCCAAACTTACGAGAGAAACAAATGGCCATATAAATGTTTCTCCCGGCCCGGGAATCGAACCTGGGACCTCTGCGTGGCAGTCCGGCATAGTAACCGTTCGGCCACGGAGGTAGTTAGTAGTAGGTAGTATTTTATATTTTTTGTATATTTTTTATAATATCTAGTGACGGGACGAACGAGTCGTGCGCCTGATGGTAAGCTACACGCCTGTCCATAGCAGTGGCAGTGCCACCCAGAGCTTTAAATGTCAAAGATCTGAGGGGCACACACTGCCTACACGTTGCCAGCCTCTGAAAACCCTATTGACACGCTTTAGGAGGAACCCCATGCAAAGGAAATACTTCAGGAAGGAAACCATTCCACATCTTAATTCGAGGAATGAACGAACGTGCTGCCCGCGTGGTCTTACAATGCCAGGCATCAATGAGGTGGGGATGGGCTCTACTCCTCATGCGGGAGGTGCGAAGGTGGAAACGTGACGGTGGAAAAGTTCGAAAAGTTCCTCTGAGCACTCCGCATTATAAGGTACAACACACATAGATAGCCAACGGCAACGTCTCTCATGTCGACTAAGGGACTCCAAACCGCCTGTGACTTTGGGATCATCGACAACACGAATCGTATTTTTTCAAGAGTTATTATTACTTCTTTTGATAGTTAAAAATGCTTCCTGTAACCGAATTCGTCGTCAATTACGTTTGCCTAAACAGACATCAATATCAGCTAAGTAGGCCTAAAAGGATGTTATTATGCAATAAAACTGCAGTTTGTTCATTCATTGTACAATTTATTTTTTGCGACAGGGTTATATTGAATCTCACTTCAGACAATATGTTAACTTTAAAATATATGTTTTCGTGCTACATAACATGTATATATTGTATTACTAATTGATAAATTTCATTGGACTATCCCCTGTGATAACCAAATTCATTCCACAAATTGCAATGACAACTGAATATTAAAACGGCTTAATCGATTTCAATCAAAATAAAATTACCTCGAGTCGGCTTTAAAGCAAAAAATTTAATTAAAATTGGGATATCCATTAGCGTGTGTATTTTTTGTGGTATAAACCATTCAAATATTGGAAACAAAAAAATAGTATCTCTAATAATGGTAACTCTTAACAAAAAATCATTGTCCATTCTATTAGGCGCAGTTAGGACGTTAATTTGCTTTTAGTTAGGTCAAAGTAATTGACATCTCGCTAACATTAAGTTTGTCTCGTGCTGGTTTCCCACGGCCCGTGTTTTCACAGGCCGCGCCGCACGAGTTAGCGCCAACGCGCTGTGGAAAAGTGCCGCCCGCCGCCCGTGCCGGCGCGGATTCGTATGTATGGGCCCGTGGCGCGAGCTCGCCCGTCCAAATCTGCGCAGCGCAGCGCGGCCCGTCATATCACAGGCCGTGAGAAGCCGTCTTTAGATGAATCAAATTTAATTATTTAACCTTTTGTATGTAATAGAATTGACATTTGATTTTGGAACAAAAGCAGAAAAGAATCTCTAAATGTTGTGCCAGTGTTTATGCAGTTTGTAGTAAAAATAGTAACTGACAGTTAGTTCAGTTAGTTAGTAGACTTTTTTGCTAATCAAGTTGCAGGCAATGTACGCAATAAAACAATTAAGAACCTACCAGGTTCACAACAGCTCCATCTATAACACGAAAACAACTCAAAACATTCGCAATTTTCTAGCCATTATTAAATATCACATAAAGTTTAATAAATACGATAATTTATCCACGTCTATCAGGGGACACTGCGAAATTGTAGGAATGAAAATTAAAAACATAGAAGCCAAATCAAATGCAATGCTATAATACACCTTCGCAAAGTTCAAATTATATTCAGCAACTCAATACCGCTTTTATTTCTTCTTTGTTCTTGTGTTTCAATGTGATTTAAAGAAAATTTAATCGAATGCGTGCACAAAAACAACACAGTATTATATATAAACTTTTTACCTGCTTTAAAATAAAAGGCGGAAAAATATGAATTCATTGTAATATGCGTTACATGTCGCAGGTAGCATAACTCAGATTAGGTGCGATTACAAAATAACACTCCATTTGATCTGTCCTCCGAAAACGTAGGAACCCATAGAGAGAAGCCGCGCTTAAAAAGTCAACAGAAAACAAACCATAAACAATAATAAAACATTTTTAAAATTGGAATCTAGTCAGAAAGGCGGCCACAGTCTGGTTTGAGATTTAAGTATTTCGACATAGCATGTTTGCACTTCGCACCACTTTGTGATAAATACAATAAATGCAAATTACAAAGTGCGTATTCTATTCCTATATATTATAATTGGACCCCTCACACGTAAAGTATCGTATGTCAAAATTGCCAAGTTTACAGGGGAGCCTTTTAAAGTCCTGAATTCACTGAAATAAGCATAACACGTGACTTTAGATTTCTCACTTTTATTCGGCAAATCTCGTAACACACGTTGATTATCATAAAATCCTAGATATCTGTTAGATGATCTATTAGATGATCACCCTATGTGAGTAACAAGCTTTGCCAAATGAAACGGAGAACTTTAAAACACTCCCCTGTAAACTTGGCAATTTCGACATACGATACTTTACGTATGAGGCGTCGATAAGTTCATGAGATGATTTAAAAAGTTTTATTGGACATTGAAACTTCCATGTCCAATAAAACTTTTTACTTACAATAACAATAAATGCAGAAAAACGCTGAAATTTAATTCACAAAAGATAATGTAATCGATACTATGGATGTGAACGTCTTTCGCTATGGGCACATCCACAAAATAATCTCTTTAATTAAATATATCATCGATTGTGATTACACGAATTCGCAGTATAACTAACGCCACACAGTGATATTGTTGAGAGTGCAAACTTTCTATACTCTACAAGTAGTACGAAAGGCGAACAAGCCATTTAATTTAAAGTATAAAATAAAATAAGACTAATAAATTAAATTAGTTACTCCACCTTTTCGCCTAACTATTATACATATTATAATTCGGAATGTTCGTCTTCATTGGCATCGGAGAGCTGCAGAGGAGGTTCTGTGGGCTCTCCGCCGGTATCCGTCGTCTCAAATTCGGTCTCCACTTCGGCACCTTCGTCTGGCTTCTCTTCCTGGCTCTCGGCTTTCTCTTTCTCCTCCGGCTCAATCACAGTTTCAGTTTTATTCTCCTCTTTCTTAACAGGTTTCTTAGGCCGCCATATTTTCATCTTATTGATCAAATACTTAACTTCCCTATCCAATCCGCCCATTTTTTCTCTTATACTATCAATTGTCATCTTAACCTCCTCATGTTTCTTCAACGCGTTTTGTTCCTCAAGAGATTTGTCAACCCAATATTCGGTATCTGCAATCTTTGTCTCTAAAGTTTCAATTTCAACATCAGTGAATATGTCTTTGTCGGCGTTTGCATCTTTTGTCATATTCTTAGCAGCTTTAAGGAATTCTTTTGAACTATTCAGCATTTTGCGTACAGTCGCCACGGCGTCAGGCCTCTCTCTATGTTCCCAATGTCTATAGAAAATCGGGTTCGTCTTTTCATGCAACATTTTCAACTTATCCTCATATTCTTTAGTTTCTGCATTGTAACCATCATCGTATAACCATTCGGATATTTCACTGCACAGTTTCTTGATCTCGTTAATTTCTTCCGGAGTGCCGCATTCGGCATATTCTTCCATCTCTATCTTCATTTGAGCGTCAACGACGAATGCCTCCAAATTATTCAAAGCAGTTTCTCTTTCAACTCTTTTTCTATCAATGTTATTTAACTCTGCAATCTTAGCTTTAGAGCTCTTAAACTGGCTGGGAGTCAAAGGCTGCAAGCTCAGTATTTGCTCGTCGGTTTGGATCGGTTCTTTCAATACTATAGTCTTTGGCTTGGGTGTCTTATTCTCAGTTTCAGTAACATTTTGTTTCTCCGTTGTAGTCTCATTGGCTTTCTTGGTATCGTTCTTTGCAGTTTCAGTAGATTCATCAGGTTTTTCTTCAGGCTTTTCTTCAGCCTTTTCAGGTGTTTCCGTGTCAGATCCAAATAGTTTGCTAATAGTGCTACCAATCTTTGACAGCGTACTATCACCGTCTTCTTCAGTGACAACTTTTTCAGCGACAAATTCAACGTTAACAAGGTTCAAAATACCGGAATCGTCCATATTGAAATGCGCTTTAATGCCTTTGTGTTCTACGTTCTCTCCCGTATGTTTTGCAAGGGCGGACCCAACACCGGTGAGGACAATTTGTGAGAGGTTCAATGCGCCAATGTAAGCAATCTCGTTTGAAGGAATGTGCTCCAATTCGGCGTAATTCACGTTGAAGGTGAAGTCGTTGGTGTGTTTGTTAAAAGTGATTACCTTCTTTTGTGGGTAAGGATTCATTGGGCTGAAGAGCGTGCGTTTAATCTGGAACGAAATATATTTTTATTAATAATTTAGAACTGGAGGTGTTGGGAAATGTACCGTTATCATTATCAAACTGAAAATAGGTTAGACAACAAACGTGCAGTATAAATAGTGACGAGATTACAAAAAATACGTTTGATGTTTGTAGTAAATATACTGCTCGTCAAGTGATATTTCACAGCAAAGTAGGTATGGTAAAGTAGGTAGTAAGGCTTACTTAAAATGATAAAGATATAGCTGTCTATATTGAATTTATTTAAAAATTCAAAAGCACAGTGTGTATTAGAAACCACAGAAATGTGCTAGAGAAGAATAAGATCACGCACACAGACTTTCAAATTGCGTCACAATTGCAATTTAAGATCGTTGGTATCTCACCATATCCTGTAAAACAAAACATACAATGCTAACAAAGTATTTTAACTACCCCAGCCCAGATTATTTATACGCAATTTGTCATAGACAAGGTATTAGCATACTTATTTACCGACATGTTTATAGTATGGTGGTTTGCTAAACGGGGTTGATGGATAGGGAGGCTAATTTGGGGGTTATATGCCTGAAACACTCCTAACACAAGCCTCAAGATTTCTATGGTATATTATCTCGTATTAAGCGAATTTTTCAAGGTATATTCCGTTCAGCACTTGTCATCTTGCGCTGTTACTCTGAGTAAAGATACATTAGTAGAGAATGTTCCTTTTTGGAAGCTGAATAAGATTAGCTACACATAGTTTTTTTTTGCATTAGACGGTAGGTTATTTTGAATCTTTGTTCCGTCTTTTTGTAAGCAAAAACAATAAATACCGAGAAAGAAAATTCTCAAACATATTACGTAATTAGTACCTTTCTTTTACTCTTAGTATTCACTACAGATTAAATCAGAACTTTCTATTTTTATATACTTAATCAATCTATTTTAATAACTTGCGCTATAACAAAAAACTTAAAGAAACAGAGGTTATGAACATTAAAAACTTGTTAAGAAAATATAAACATATTATTGTGTCATTTGTCATCAATTTTCACGATGTTTTCCTTTGCTGTCTAAAGAAAAAGGTTTATGATCACTGCCTTTTTGTTTATGTTTTTTCGAATTCCATAAAAGCTTTTTATTTATATTTGATATTTTTACAGCCATTCTCGGACTAATGTTGACTAACTAATGTCCGTGGTAAATTTATTATTTAAATTTTGAAGTACATGATCGTGTAACTATTATATATATATTAAATAATAAAAATTGCCACGAAAATTAGGTAATGAACACTAGTCCGAATGACCGTTTACATGTTTCTCAGGGTTAAATTTTGAAAAGAATGTCCAGTGTGTAAATGTACTGACCTGTCTGTCAACTCCGTCAATATTCCTGGAAAAGACGACTTGAATAGGCAGAACCACGGCGTCGCGCACAACCAAAGGTGCCACTTTGTAGCCAGTTGCCAGGGATGCAGCTCTGTGATACGAAAACAATAATTATAATAATGTACGAGACAACCAATCACCTGGTCTTAAACTAGGAAATCCGCTGTACCTGAAGAAATGAAATCGACTCGGAGGCACTACCCACAAAATTATTATCACTAATTACAGGTTTCTTAACACGATATGATTTATTTTTATTTTCCCGATATTTCATAACGGTTACACGCTCCATGGTCACGGATTGATCATGGAGTCCACCATGGAATCAACCCGTAATCTAAGAAACCTGTAATTAATGATATTCGTTTAGTGAATAACCATGAAAGCCTTACAATCTATACTACCTAGAAAAGTTTATTTCAAAAATTGGTCCTTCCGGGAATAAAACATGGGACCTCCTTGTCCAGCGCACACAGCTCAAACCATTGAGCCACCGAGTTCGTCAAGTACAAGAACAAAAGACTATAATAATCTCATTCATTAGTCATAATATCAATCACAGAGTGGTGGTCAAGAGGCGCAAAAAGGCCAAGAGGCGCAGAAGGGCCAGAATGAGCGAAAAGGCCAAGAGAAGTACAAAGGTCACGAGGAGCAAAAAGGCTAGTAGGCAGTGTTCGCCGCTATGCTCCCATGGGAACATACGATATATTTTTATGTCTTTTGACTCCAATGCTATCCACTCAATCATACTGTCAATCATACATACTCGGAATCATACTCAATAGTACTGGCTACTTAAAGCTTATGATTAATATCGAGGTGACACTCGTCAAGATATTTACTTCAATGTCGTGTCCGAACCCACTACACTATGAACAAAGAGTTTTTCCGTTGCAGACCGCGGCGGTAGATTCACAACTGCCTCTACCAGTATTCATAACGATTATGGATTCAAAATATCAGCAATTACACAGGGTTATTTGTAAAACACTAGCAACCTCGCAGGACTATAAGTACTTACATCACAATTAACAAGTTTTAACATGAAGTTATCAAAAGTAAACTTTTAAGTTTTTCTTGTACTATCTGACACTTTTTAGGTTTGAAGTTGAATAGTGCAAGCGTCCTACCTCGACGACCCTAACCTCCACTCTATTTCTTACCGCGCAAAGTTATTACCGTTTAGCAATGGCGAGGCGTCCATAGAACTCAATTCTCACCAGCTTGCCTAATATTTTCCACGTATCATCAATACTACATTTTGTGCTGTATTTTAGGTGTACAATATAATTAAACAGTGAAATAAAATGTACTGGTATCTTGTGTGCTAATAAGTGTTGTGCTTAATTGTCGCCAAGGCGCCACTTGTTCGTTAATTGCTACATTCTCGTCTCTTTGGTTTTCTCTACAACATTTTTCAATCAACAGGATCAAAAAACAACTGGACGAATTTATCAATATTTGTATACTTCTTTTATTGCATGAGTAACCATCAACGACTTTGATATTGGGTCTCAATTAAAAGTATCTGGTACCTATAAGAGCTACTCTTGTTTCAGAAGCCAAAAATATGAGAATACGAGTCCTAAAGTACCCATTGCCATTGACAAGCCAATAAATATTTTCGTTTCTTCTTGAACTAGTATTTAAAGATCTTTCAGTCTGGTTTACGCTGCAATTTTTTTTTTTTATTAAATTTATTTTACAATTTAAAAAAAATGTTAATTATTATCGATAAGACGTTGTTTAAAAAAATGACGGGTCGATGTTTTTGCAAAAATATTCGGGGGTAGGCACAGAGACTGCGTCAAGTAGTAGTGTATTTTTAAATTATTCTTCTAATAAATTTTCGAAAACATATTTATCCTATTCCAAGGCTGCTGACGGTTGAAAGATCTTTCAGTCACGCCTAGTTGACACGCGTAAGAAAAAAAAGCGGTTCATCGTCAAAAGAATTCCACTCATTTCCGTCAACTGACCGAGGAATGACCTCCTCTCGAATGTCTTCTTGCTACATTTAGAATATCTTCACACCCTGACTCATTTAAATTGACTAACATCGCCTCAAATTCATCAACTAACATCTCTATAAAGATGACCAATGAGAGGACCTACGATACAGAAAGCAATTGTTGAAAAAGTACTAAAAATGAATTTTACTTTTATGGTTCACATAAAAAATCAAAAGATTAACGTCCTTACTAATTAAAAAACACACAACCCCGGTAGTAAGTAACTCTGAATCAATATTCACCTCTTCGAGAATTCGCCATGTCGGTATTTGCACAAAGGTTCAATTTCGATTAAGGATTCCCGTTGTATACTCATGCGCCGATAAAAAATACCCACTTTATGAGCAATCGTTAATGTCTTAAGAAATGCAAAGTTATGTTAGATCGAACGAATGCATTGAGATAGCGTGAAATAAAAAATATTAATTAAAATATCATAGGTGATACCGGTGGTCTTAGGAGGACATAAATTTATTTGGTATGTCAATCAGGAGTCAATAAGTGTGAAAACTAGAAACGTGGTTTCGAGAATTAAAATTCAATTTAGTAATTTAGTATCACTTTGCTAATTTAGCATGCTACGTCTATTAAGATGTTCCAGTGAAGGAACTGTACTTAGGCTGGCAGCAGAGAATAAAAAAGTAACGAAAAAGGTCACTCTGCGCCCCTCCCTAACTTTAGACACCGCACCGCACCCCGCATATTGACGGTCACATTGACGGAACGGCAACAAGGCTGTCAGTGAGCCATTCGCTAATGACAACGTTGATGTTTTAATTATTTAAATTTATTAATCACGCACGAGCGTTACTATATTATACTTCACGAAAGTCGTGAATTGTGCCATGTACGGTTATTAATTCCTTACGGTAGGTATAACCCTTAAGCTTTGAGTCATAAGACTAAAACTCACAACTAATTTGAGTCGCGAGTCTTTTTATCCTAAGATTAAAAACCTGAGACATTACTTTAAACGCCTTACGCCGCGAGTCATGGGTCGTTTGATGTGTCGTCGGGACCAGGTTTAGATAAATTATAGTCTTACAAGGTGAGCTAGGTGCTTGCGAGTCCGTGCGAATACTTGCGATATGCGTGTATGAAATTTTCAGTTTCCATATACATAGTTTAAATTTTTAAGTTTCTTTACTTAAATATATGTTGTACATAACCCAAAAGGTTTAATATTAATAGCCCTTATTATATACCAACATGTCACGCACAACTAACTACTACTACTATATTTGTATTTATCAACTTCGGGTTCAATAAGACATAAGACAGGTATAGTTCCGTTGCATGTAAGCCTAAGATCTCGAGCTGAATATCACCATCGAACCTCCAGTTTTAATTTTAGAGTCGAGTCGTGTTTTTTTTTAAATATATAAAATATAAGTGCGCATTTGATGCATCTCAACTGATGGAAAGTGACGATGAGGTCGACGATGGAGCATGCACACTTAAATTTCGCGTTGGAAAGGCCCAAGTTATAATGTTCAGGGAACAAAGGTAAAATGGAGTTGTCTTTTTAAAAGACTGAGTCTCTTTAAGCGCTACCTATGCGGTTAACTGTACTGCTGCTCTCGAGCAACGATGAAAATCGGTGAGAGCGGTGGAGCCATCGAGTATATAACCAGAAATAGAGACGAAATAAGGGCCATATATTCCTGGTAACACATTAGCGATACAGCTCTTATAAATATCAACTCCCGTTTGCACTGAAATATAGACAGGTCAATTACCTTTGTGTACGTCTCCGTATATTACAAAAAAATTCTAACAATGACGGCATTGTTGACGGCTGTACTATTCGGTGGTGTGGGAAAAACAGCAAAACATCTAATTAC